ACTTGTCATGGTTCCACCGCACATTTGAAGTGGCTCAATTGAGGGCTGAGAGGTAGCTCGAGACTATTGCAGTAGTTGATTCAACAGGTATCATTATTCATATCAAAAACATCGACAGCTGTTCGCGCGTTTGTTTTCCGTGTGGGGGAGTAGTGGATATCGTCGGAAATATGGACGCCCGCCGTATGCGTCCAATTTATGCCTTCGGGCCGGGTGTTTCGCTCGTCAAGGTGACGTCTGCTGCAAACCTCCAAACTTGTTCATCTCATATCTCGGGAAAAGATTCGGGACGCCGAAAGTGCATGCGCACCTATGTGGGAACCTTTCATTTATCGCGCAGTGCGAGACATGCTTCCTTTTTCCACACGAAGTAGGGCGTGTTGGCATGTAGAGCAAAGAGCAATTGCACTGCCATGAGCACTGATCGCTCTCATACAAGATTTTCTGTCGGTCTCTTGTCAACTGCCCTCTATCCACTCCCCCCACCCTCAGGTACCTCAACAGGGTGCTGCTGATTGAGCTGTTCAAGACGGTGGAGAAGCTCTGGCGGGAGAACAACCACGGAAAGGAGGATTGCTCAAAGTTCTTCATGGAAAGGGGGGCATGGTTGGTCTCGTCTGGGGTGGAGGGGGGGAACAGCCCGGACGGAGTCCAGACGTGCCATATGTTCATGCTACGGGCGGAGAGCCCCACAGACTTGGCCGTGCTCCTGTTGCACCACGTGGTGAGTGCCCCGTTGTAGAGAAACACAATTATCGTATTGATCACGAGTGCTCGTTCAAAAGATCCCGGACTCTTGAAAACAATGAAAGTCGAATACGTTCGACAGATGGTGAGCAGGCTTTGATTAACGAAGGTGTGCACATTTTGCGTTGGTATAGATCAAAAGTGTAGTTGTACATACTTCCGGTCTTTGTTGCAAAACGACAAGTGCCGATTAGGGCATCTAGCGGGTTGAAGCAACATCTACGTGGAGGAGACAACATGGTCACCTACGAGGTGTCTGCATGCTGCGATGTTCACGCACTCCCAACCTTGAAACTATCGTAGAGCACCACCACGCCGACGCGAAAGTACTCACGGCTGACTTTTGGTTCGTCCACCAGTAATTGGGCGGGACAAGCACAAACCGCAATCCGGTCGTGTAAAGGTCTCTTTCACGACATGTGTTTCTTGTTGTCCTTGCGCTTATGATAAACGACGTACTCGTTGTTGGCCGTGTTTTTCGAATATCGTACAACCGACTTCGGGTCAACCCTAGGTTTGAACTCCGCGCATGGAGCACAGAAAAATGACTTTGGTCAAATTGATGCACGCGCGTGTGAAGCTAAAGTCTGTCTGTGTGTGCACGCATGATTTCTTGAACACCCAGTACTGGAAGCCCGAAACCATGCCGCAGGTGCGGCCACAGCGATAGCGATACCACGCCCACGCATGTCCATACCGGAAGTGAAAACTGCGTGTCGTTTCAGAATAAAATAGAACTTGGAAGTTTTATGTGGAAGTAGAGTTCAACCGCCCTCTGAACGAAAGGGGCAAGGGGCAAGAAAAAGGAAACACGTACTGCGGTGCATGACCCAAAGCACGTCTGCCAGCGCGTGCTTTTCGTGGGTACACTATGGTAGTTCCACGCACGTCTTTTGTTGTTTTTTGTGTTCACATTAAAAACCGCCCCGGTCTCCGCGCAGTACCTTTCAATATCCGTATACTACTGGTACAACTGACGCGGACGCCTTCCGTGGTCACAAGCCAACTACACCCCCAAAGGGTACACTATACCTTTACTAGAACGAAACGAAAATATAAAATGGGCTAGGAAAAATTTCTCCAAATGTGGAAACAGCGTAGCACAAAAATAACATGCGTCCAACAATTTGCCATTTCGAAACATGTTACCACCTGTGTCTACAACAGGTGCGTGCATCAATATCCCAAACAAGGACCCCCTTGTTTTTTCACAGAGCGGCTGCAGCTTTTTTTCATCCAATCTTTCGTGTCAAGCCTAGCCACCTGCCGGAAGCTCGCGTTTGCCACATAGGCCACCGCTTCCCTCCAAATGCCCCCAAGCCGCCAAGCTAGATATGCACAATCCACAGGTGGTCACGAGACCGTGTACATGCACAGGAAGCATGGTCTTTGGGAGAATTTTGGTGCACATTTAAGATGTAGAACGTTTCCAGGAAATGATGTTTCTCTGTGTTGTAATGAGCAGTAAACACTACTCCAATCGATTGAACTGGTTGCCCCACTCGCGCTTGGAGGCCCGGAGTGCGCATGTGTTGTGCCCAAGCCAGAGATAAATATTGTATAGAACGCCACCAACGCGCTACTTCTAACACAACTCACAGCATGCACGAAGAAAATATGACCATCAATCAAGCAGGCCGTAGGATAGGATGTAGACATAATATCTTATCGACTCCAACTCCAATGCTCGCACCAGTATTAATTCTGGGAACAGTTGGTCGTGCGCACGGCCAGACCCTGTGTCGCTTTTTTTTATCTGAAATCTAGTGTTGTCCAAAAAATCAAGTCGGAATCGAAGTCTGCACATGTGCTGTTCTCAAAGGGAGGCATGGAATTGTGTCACCTCTTCGGAAAAGTTTGCAATTTTTCCTCGTCTTGTCTCGCACATTCCCCCGTTGGACTCTTCTCGGCAAGTACGCAAACAGCGTCCACGACCTCGGGGTTGTCTACACAACATATGTGTGACCCTCATCTCGAAAGGCTTTTAAATGCAATAAATGGGCACCGGGGTAGAACAACTTGGCAGTCTG